CCTCCTTGCATGTCCCTGTGTGAGGGTTTCTACGAAGGAGCCACAGAGGAATTGATGGAAGGATGGTGAACCCAGGTGAAGAGAGGCAGCCCTGCCTGTTCTGAGGACTGGGACACTGCTGTTCCCCTGGCCACCGTGTAGAAGCCTAGACTTGGCCACACTGTGAGCAGCCCAGGAGTATGCAGAGGCCACACTGATCCTTGGCCCACTGATTATACGACGGGAGCCACCCCAGCCCAGTCACCAGAGAGTTCAGAGGCAAGAAAAGAACAAAACTGTCACAGGATCTGTGTTCAGAGTACCATTGCCACGAAGATGCATGTCACCGGGGCTCCATTTACCGGCCTCTCTGAAGGAGCCAGTTCACTTTATTCACCTACCCAGCAGACTGTTGGCTCTTGGCCACAAGCAGTTGACTGTTACTGCTTCTCCCGAAATACCTTTTATTGCAGACCCAGGCCCTCCAGGGGCCTGTGCATGAGGCTGTGCAGGAAACATCATGCTGCCTGACAGGCCCTGCACCGTCAGATCATGTCCCCTGGAGGAGGCTCGGAGAGCCTGTCCCCTGCACAGGCTGCTTATTCCCCAGGGTGAAAGCCCGAGGGGAGCAGGGTTGCAGAGGCTGCCAGCCACCCACAACCATCCAGAGCACCCCAACTCCCTGCCTCTCCCCCCAGCCCGGCCCTGCCACTCCCAGCCTGTCCCCCCAGCCTGGCCGTGTCATGCCCAGTGTGTCCTCCCAGCCTAGCCTTGGAGCTCCCCACTCTAGTGCCCCTGCCAACAGGGGGCAGCAATACTGGCAGGCTATTAAGAGGCATGTGTCAGGCTGCATACGGGCCCTATGCTGCTGCTGCGTGCCACCCTCAGGGCACCACCATCACTAGGTGGCCCCAAATACAGAGCCATGAGCCACACAGGAGGAAGACACGTCCTCCAAGGTAAGGAGCTTCTCTCTGCTCACCTCCTTGCATGTCCCTGTGTGAGGGTTTCTACGAAGGAGCCACAGAGGAATTGATGGAAGGATGGTGAACCCAGGTGAAGAGAGGCAGCCCTGCCTGTTCTGAGGACTGGGACACTGCTGTTCCCCTGGCCACCGTGTAGAAGCCTAGACTCAGCTGTGCTGTGAGCAGCCCAGGAGTATGCAGAGGCCACACTGATCCTCGGCCCGCTGACTATAAGATGGGAGCCACCCCAGCCCAGTCACCAGAGAGTTCAGAGGCAAGAAAAGAACAAAACTGTCACAGGATCTGTGTTGAGAGTACCATTGCCATGAAGATGCGTGTCACCAGGGCTCCATTTACTGGCCTCTCTGAAGGAGCCAGTTCACTTTATTCAGCTACCCAGCAGACTGTTGGCTCTTGGCCACAAGCAGTTGACTGTTACTGCTTCTCCCGAAGCTGATTAGCATGCAGTGTTGCAGTGTCTCTAAGAATAATGTGGTTTACCTATATAATAATTTAAGATTTTAATCCTCTCCAACAATCAATTATTCAGCCCTGTGGCAGTGGAAAAAAAAAAAAGAAAGAATCCTGTCACTCTGTTTCTCTCTCCCCTTTTTAATTGCAGGACCTTTGATAGTACTGGTTCTGATCTACTGCTTACAAGAGAATATATTTAATGGGTTGGTGGCAGTTTTATTGTCCCTTAAACATTTAATAGCTTGCCTGCATAACTTCTTAATGTGTTTTTATTTTTTTATGTTTTTTAGAAAAACTGAAAACTTGTAATATTGAATTTTATGACATTGGCACCTGACCCTTTTCCAGAATTGGAGAATATATTCCACCCTACTGTCCTCTTAGTTACTGAAAACAAAATATAAACCTACCCCTACAGTTTGTTTTGATCAGTGTTACAAATTGGAAAGGCTTTCTTTATGAACTGTGCAAGATTCTTTTTGGTAGGCTGGAACTGTCTTATGCTAATTTTTTAAGGTTTGGCGCCAGTCTGGTCAACTGCATCCCGTCCTGAGGGCTGGGATGCAAGTGTGTGGGTGGGGTCAGGAGCCTGCTCAGAGCGGACCATGTTTTTAAACAGTAACCTTCTATATTTAAACAAACAAACAAACAAAACTTGCCATATGACAATCAGAATATTGTCTAAAGAAGGCTGGAATATATTATCTTCGTTAAGTTGTGTTATGATCCTAGGATAATACATTTCACCAGATGAAGCAAGTAAATGTTTAAGGAGACTAGATAGATACTGTCCAATTGTTTGAAGTAATTGTTCTTCATGGCTCTTTCATTTATAAGCATAGAGATTATAAAATGAGGGAGCAACACATATCAACATTTTTTCCCAGATAGATTTATTAAAATTTTCGGTGCTACTACTGTCCCCTCAGTTGATCTGTATATCAACAATTTAGTAAAAAGTAAAGAACCTTTAAAGATGGAGTTTCCCAAAAGCCATACTTTGGGAATAATCCTCCAAGACAATACTGTTGGATTGCTTTTAATCTGGTGTTTGGACTTTGTATGAAGTGAATAAAAATAAATGCTTTTATTTTCTAAAATCCAGCGTGTGAGAAAGTCCATGACCATGTCTTCTTTCCTCTCTTGGGAAATGCACTGAGAAAACCCTGGCTGTGCCTCGCAGATGATTTTTTCCACAAGCCATTTCATGCATAATTCAGAGGCCATTGTGGAGCAAGCAACAGCATGAGCAGTCCTCTGTGTTCCTGACAGCCCGAGTGTGACTATCTGTTCATCTGCTGTGCGCAGCCCCCAGGAACTGGGGTGATCTGAGCCCACACCGCCCTGGGTGCTTCCTTGGGTGACCTCCCCTCCTGCACCCTTCTCCCTGCCCAGCCCTTGACCCTGGGGCTTCCCTGGGGGGATGGGGCACCACCAGGAAACCGCTCCCCTCTCTCCTGTTCTCAATTTGAAAGCAGTTTCCCAGTGTTTCATGCCCACTGTTTCATGCGGGAAGCTGTGCTCCATGCTAGCACAGGCCTTGCCTGAGCCTGGCCTTGTCTCCTGGGCATCCCTGCTCGGCCCTGACCGTGATAGACCCTGACCCAGGAGGGCATCCCTGCCAACATCCAGTGTCCAGCTCCATTGACTTTTTGGAATGAATTCTAAAGGACAGATTGAATTCACACTCTAAAGGTAATTATACTGCTTGAGACTTGAATTTTTTCAACTCAAGAAAGGACCCAAGATGGCCCTTAAATTATTTTCTTTTTTTTTCCCTCTGCTGGTCTCCAAATCAGCTAAAATCATGTGAAAGTTTTGCTTTTCCATGACCATTTGGTGTAAATCCTCTTTGGAGGCACTCATTGATGTTCAATTAACAGCTTTGAGCTCTGTTTTATGTGTATGCTGAATTAATGAGTACTCAATTTTGAATGAATCATTCGTCTACTGCGGTGGGGTTGAAAGGATTAATGTATGTGGGCCAGCATTGGAAAATCCTGGAGTAACTATTCCTTCATTTATTCGGTCATTGTTTGATGAAACATTGCTTAGAATTTGCTCTCCATAGGATTCCACAGAGGGGAAACTTGCACGCTAATGGACAGCTCAGAATACCGAAAGCTCCTCAGAATATGTATTTCCCCTTTCTCACATAGTTATCATATATGCTTGTGTTTGTCTTCTGGAAGGATGGACAAAAATCCCTTTGAAATATTCAGTTTTCCCTAACTTGTGAAATGAGTTTTATAGTATAATTCATATAACAGCTTCAGTTTTTGCACTGTAAAACACAGTATTAGATCTGAAATCCCAAATATTCTTGCTTGTAAGCTGAAAATTAAGAATCAGGATTCAGTCAAGCCCTCACAATTGCGTTTTGAGCAGGTGTGGGAAAAGCTGTTAAAATAGAAAGCTGAGCGCCTGGAATTCCCAAGGCCAGGAGGACGGGTGGTGGAGCCTCGGGTGGTCTGGTCCCTCATGGAGGGGGGGAGTTCATTCTGATCACTGTGTATTTGGAGAGCAAATGCACTGGAATAATGAAACCTTTTTTGGCTCTATTTTTACATTTTGAAGCACAGGATCTCTGACAGTTGTGAGAATTTGCTGTTTGGGAAAGAGGGGCTGTGGGCAGGCTGCACTTGGGGCTGGACCTTCCTGATTCTGCTCCCAGGGCCCTGGCAGAGCCTCTGTGTTCTCAGGGCAGTGTCCCCTGGGGCACCTGCCTGTCTGCTCCCCAAGCCCAGGCAGCTCGGTTTCCTTGTTGGAACACAGAATAATAACGGTAGGTCTGCTTACTGCACAGCATTCAGCGGAACAATGTGCACGGATGTATCTTTATGAGAAGGAGTCAAGCCCGATGTAGGTGTCCTGTCAGCATGGTGAACTACCAGCTGATGCAGCTAAATGTGATCAGATATTTGAGGGGGACTCAGGGTGGTAGAGGGGTGCAGACTGAGTACCCCGGTTCTGAAGTGCTTGGGGTTTTGGGTGTCAGACATTTTCTGGGGTACATGATGTATATAATGGATATCTTGAGGATGGGACACAGATCTAAACCCAAAATCCTTTTATGTTTCTTACGCAGTGTATACACAGAATCCTACAATAATCTTACACAGTTTTTGGGTGTGTACCTGCATTTTGACTGTGATCCATCACATGAGTCCAGGTGTGGGTGTTCAAAACATTTAGATTTTGCACACTTCAAATTTTGTATTTTCAGGTGAAGGATGTTCGAGATGTAGCAAGAATACAGTAAAGGTATTATTTAAGAACGACAACTCTAAGAGAGAGAAATCAAAATAAAATGGGAGGAAATGAGGGAGAAAGTGGGATGAAAATTCAGAAATGTGCAGCTGGCTTGAACCCTAAAACACATAGGTTATTTGATCGCAATTTAAACACACAGGCCACACAGTGTGAGGAAAGCGTGGTTGGGTGTGTGAGGAGAGGAGCAAGATGTGCATGCTTTACAAGTGATGTGGGGACACCAAGTGTACCCTAAACTCCTCAAACAAGAACCATCTTATCACTGTATTCACCTGGCATAAAGAGGGCCGCAGAAGGGCAGAGCTGCCCGGAGTATCACGAAGACGAGAAATAGTACAGAGATTTCTGTTGTTTCTTTTCTCTTTTTATTTTGAGATAATTTTAACTCACAGAAGATTCACACACATGGTGGAGAGGGTTCCTGTGCTCCTCTCCCCCAGCATCCTCTCATGGTAATGTCTGATAGATCCAAGCAGCAAGACCACAATCAGAAGAGTGACATGGATTCCATACTGCCAAGGGTGGGCTGTGTGCACAGCTTCTCACTTTCTTACTGATGTGCTGTCCTGTGGGTTCAAAGCCAGGGCTCCCCATGGGGGGGGCTCGCCGTGAGTTCTCAGTCTCCCCAGTGCTTGATGATGCCCAGTCCTCCTGGTCTTCTTATGACCTTGACGCTTCTGAAGGCTACTGGTCATTTTAAGCAATGTTCCCCGATTTGGGTACCTGTGAAGTTTTACAGGGTAAGATCAAGGTCACACATGTTGGGGAAGAATTCCACTGAAGTGTTGCCGTCCCCTGTAGGTAGGTCACATCAGAGTTCAGGTCCCGTCCACGGGTTTTCTAACCAGCTGTACTAACTTCAGTCATTTGGTTAATAAGGCATCTGACAGGCCTCTCCACCTCCAACTTGCTCTTTCCCTCTTTGTTATTAGAATTTTTCTTGTAAGGAGATGTTTTCAGGTAACACGAATTCATGCATCCATGGATGGTTCTTCTCTTTAAAAAATGTTTCATAATGATGACTTTCCTGTTTTTCTTCTTTCTTTTTTTGTCCGGGGGATTAAACTTAGGGCTGTGTACTTGCAAGGCAGGTGGCACCACTGAGCTAAATCCCCAGCCCAGTGGTGATTTTCTCTACGGGGGATTAAACTTAGGGCTGTGTACTTGCAAGGCAGGTGGCACCACTGAGCTAAATCCCCAGCCCAGTGGTGATTTTCTCTACTATTCCTTTTAGATTTATCAAGAATCCCATGATTTCTTAATCAAGACTTAATCAAGGTACTGCTAATGCTACTCATGTTACAAGAAAGCAATATTTTTACTAAAAGCAACAATTCTT